ATGGTTTAGTTTTGAGTGTTTATGAGATTTTAGGTGTCAAAACATTTTTTAGAGTTTAAAAAATTAAGATATAGATTTTATAAATCTATAATTAGTGACATTTTTGTAAATGTGACACCCCTAAATGGTATTTTTGCAAATGTACACACAAAAATGATAATTGTCCCTTAGGATTTCATGTCTAAATTAAAAATTGAATTCATTTTTATCTTTCTAAGAAATTATGTTTTTACTTCAATTCTTTTCAGCTAAACAAAAATATAATATTAAAATCCCACTTAAAATGTAATATTAGGTTTAAAGACAAAAATAACTGGAAAATATTCCACAAAAGAAGGATAAAACAAAGAAAGAACAATAAAAACCAGCCAAACAATAATTGGTTTTTTACAAGAAAACAAAACAGAGAGTTTTAAAAATCAATGGTTACCTAATAATTACTCTGTTAATCGTTAATGTCTTTCAAACTTGCCCTCTCTCTTTCAAAGTTCCTTGTTATATAAGCAACCAATGAATCCGATCATCTATTTCTAAGCCTGGGCCGACCAGAAAATCTTTTGGACGACCCAAGTTTCAAGGGCTCTTCTTCTTCTTCACCGGATTCAAAGTCTCACCTAAGATTTCCGAAATGGCAGTTGCTTATTTGAATCTTGGGCGCTACGTTTTTGCCTTCATCTCGTTGGCCCTAGCCGTCGTTGCTCCATCGGTTCAAGCACACGTCGCGGTCTTCGATGAATACTGGACGCAGCGTCAAACCGAGGCGTTGCGACGAACTTTGGAAGCTTATGAACCAGACCCATTTAATGTCACGGACCACTTCAACTACCATGCCGCATTGTGGGTTCTCTAAAAAATCATCATCGCAAATTAGGGTTTTTCGTTTGTTTTCAGAAACCTAACTTCTTCGAGAAGTAAACTAATGTTTTATGCTTCTTCTGTTTCTTAGAGCAATGGAGACGACAGAGGCAGTCAACGGAACAAGGAGGGATCTCCGACAGGTCGGGAGCGGTCGGAAAACACTGAAACGTGGTGGAAGGTATCAATCCCTTAACGCGATCGATAAATGCTGGCGTGGGGACAAAAACTGGGATAAAAACCGGAAAAAGCTTGCGGATTGCGTCCTCGGATTTGGCCGGAAAACAACCGGAGGCAAAGCTGGACCGATCTACGAAGTTACAGACGCATCCGACAACGATCTCGTGAACCCGAGACCGGGGACCCTAAGGCACGCCGTGACACGAGACAGACCTCTCTGGATCGTATTCGCTAGGAGCATGGTCATAAAACTGCAACAAGAACTGATCATAACGAATGATAAAACCATCGACGGTCGCGGAGTGAATGTTCATATAACAGGAGGTGCAGGTCTAACGTTACAGTTCGTGAAGAATGTGATCATACACAATATTCATATGAAATTTATTAAAAAGAGACTTGGTGGGTTGATAAGAGACTCTGAAAATCATCTTGGGCTTCGGACAGAGAGTGATGGTGATGGGATTAATATCTTTGGAGCCACGAATATTTGGATCGATCATGTCTCCATGAGGAATTGTTCAGATGGTATGATCGATGCGGTCATGGGATCGACCGCGATTACTATCTCCAATTCCCATTTCACTGACCATGAAGAGGTAAAGGAGGCTACAAATAAATAGGACTGAGGCATAAAACCGAAACATAATTTTCTCGAAAACCGAATTTTTGTCTAGAAAGTAGCACTAATGTTTGCCTTTGGCGTTTACAATTAACAAGGACATTATGCCTAAGAACTAAGATGTTTAAGGTTGTGGATTCATTTGGACTAGATGCAAACTTAAAAGCAAAAACAAAGAGTCCCAAGTTTCCTTCACTTACTGTGTTTGGCGTTACGGGATTTGCAGGTGATGCTATTTGGGGCTAGAAATGAGGATGTGATCGACAAGAAAATGCAGATAACGGTTGCGTTTAACCACTTCGGTAAAAGATTGCACCAAAGAATGCCCAGGGTCAGATATGGCACGGTCCATGTAGTGAACAATGACTACACTCACTGGCAAATGTATGCAATTGGTGGAAACAGGAACCCTACCATTATAAGTCAAGGAAATCGTTTCATTGCTCCTCCTGATGAAAACACGAAGCAGGTAAAAAAACCACAACACTCTCTAATCAACAAATCACTACACTTGAGACACAATCAAGAGATTTTGTTTTTAAATGCAGATTACAAAGAGAGAGTATACACCTTATCCAGAATGGAAATCATGGAACTGGAAATCAGAGAGAGATTACTTCTTGAACGGAGCTTACTTTGTGCAATCGGGAAAGTCAAACGCGTGGAGCTCTGCACCGGAAAACCCAATCCCTAGAAAGTTTACAATCCGGCCTCAGCCAGGAACAAAGGTAAGAAGACTCACCAAAGATGCTGGTACGCTTGGCTGCAAACCGGGCAAGTCCTGCTGAGTAAAGTTCCCTGTTCGTGTGTGTTTGTTTCCGTGTTGTAACAAAAGAAAAGACATGAAAGAAATTTGTATTTTGTTGTGGATGGTGTATGTAACGAATTGTGCATAATGCAGTACGGATAACTATTAGAAAAAAGTAGGTTTCATTTTTTTGTTGGCTGCGGAAAAAATCAAGAAAAAAAAAATCACATTCTTTTGTTTTTCAATCTTCTTTCTTGCCTGAAAGATCATTAATTTCATCACCAATACATAATACTCACTTCTATTTGCAATATCCTATCCTATATCTATCATATCATCAAACCTCGATGAGATTTGGTACGTTCTGTATCATCAGCCGTCTAGTAGCTCTATCTTATCGCTTTCTTTTAAAACCTGAAGAAATGCAAGAGACAGATATGATGAGAATAGAGTTTTTTTTTAGGTTTATCAAATCTAATTGCTGCATCTGATTCTATCCGTGGCTGTATTTGATATCGTATATTGATCAGAAAATACCTCCGAGCTAGAAGTTTCTTCGTTTGTAATTACTATATATGGGTTTGACTTCCCAGAAAGTCGAAGTTTCTCCTGCAAGATCACATGGACGAGAAGAAAAAAGTTAAAGAGCTGAGACCATCAGATTATTGTTAGGAGCAATATGCATGTCAATGCTTCATTCATATGTGATTTTCTCCACATGGACATGAATACTTACCTGAATCAGAATATCCGGCATCTTGTGATTTTCTCCACCGATAGTGTCGCATAGATACATTAAACCCAAATTCGCAATATTCTGCCAAGAGAAAAAAAAAAAGTAATCAACAAAAGATAAGTAATTTTGATCTTTTACTTAACTAGCGCCACGATTAGCTGCCAATGATGATACCTACACAACGTCTTTGAGCTAATTTTCACAACATTAATAAAGCACAAGAATAGAGAAGAAGAAATACCTGCTTGTACTCAATGCTATCTAATTTTCCACCCTGAAAAAAAAAATGGGAATTATACAGAATCAGTAACGACAAGAAGAAACTATGTATCATCCAGACATGTTTTTCACTCTAAATGACAACACAGAAGAAGAAAAAAAAGATTTTTAACAACGGTACACGCACCATACCACCACACATGGCATGCATTGCTTCAAAATTATCTCCAATGTTAGCAAGATCCTCAAGAGCCAAACCCACCTGTTCCATAGATCTAAAACTTGTTAATACCACCCTCAAATGAACAACTCTTGAGACTTGTTAAAACTTAAATAACATATTCGTACATTATCCTGGACTCCCTTTAAGAGATCCTTCTGCAAATCCAGCTTATCATCCACCTTCTGAAGCCTCTGGGACAAGTGCTTCTTAGCATTCTGACCAACAACATAAGCAGAAGCACTAGACAATCAGAATCCATTTTAAGATCATATCCAAAGCAATGATACAAGTAGTGTAACAATTGATCAAAGAATCACCCACCAAAATAGCTTCTGATACGGTGTCCAAATGCTTTGTCAAGTTCGCCACTGCATTTTCCATGTTCCTCTTTGTTACACACATGATGTCAGAGAATGAAATCCCCTGCAATACAGGAACAAACATCAGCTTCAGAGAAATCATCCCGAAACACAAATTCAAGACGCGGCAACAAAAGGGTTTACTAATAACTGTTGTTGGAACTCTATAAGATACCTTGAACCACATGTATCCATAACCTATAGCTCCCAATGTCGCTGCCGGTAGTATTAACGGGGTAAAGTCAGCTGGAAAAAAAAAGTACAAGGGAAGGTCAGAGATTACATAAAAAAATACACACATTCTTAATCAAAACTAGCCGGAGACAAACCTCCCTGAGCTCCATTCACAACAGTTATCTGCCGGTTCGAAGCATATTGCCGAACTTCCATAGCTAAACGTTGCATCTTCAACAAAATCTCACATAAGTCACTTCCTATTTACACACATATTCTTCAACTCAAAAGATCAATACACAATAATTACCTCAGTAGTCATAACATCAGAATCATCATCTAAATGAGCTCCGGATTTCTCAAATCGCTTAACAAAAGCCTTCAAATTTCCAAAAAAAACCCCTTTTGTTACAGCTCCATTCTCAACCAAAAATTCAAAAGAACGAAAGGTGAAATTAACGTAATCGTACCTGTAACTCTCCCAAAATATCAGCCATTTTTCCATTCTTGACAAGAATCGTACTTGTATAACCTTCAGATACGAAAGACAACACGATAAGCAAAAAAGAGAAATTTCAGAAACTCCATAATCATGATCGTGAAAACCCTAAGTTACCTGCTCCAGCTAAAACCAAAATCTTCGATAACCCAATTCCAGATTGCATCGCCATGGCCGAAAAAAAAAGTTCGTCTTCTTCGTCGAAGTCTGAAATTTCTCTCGCCGGCGTAAGAAACTGTCCGCTTAAAGTCGGTTTCTATTAAACGGTGTCGTTTTAACACTTGACCTTTGCACTAAACTAATCTGGACCGTTGGTTGATTCATAGAAGAGTAATAAATCAATCTGAACTGTTCATTTAGTTGACTAGTTTTTGCAAAATGTCTTGCAAAAGTTGGAGGGTCATATATAACAATTGGTTATATTTGGTCAAATTTGTAAGCTTTTAATATTATTGGGGTAAAAACGAATTAATAGAAGAACCGCTCTCTCCTAAGCTCAAAGCAAAACCCTTTCTTCCTCCATAGACGAAGGCATTGAGAGGGAAACCAAAAACGATGTTGCAGCTCTTATCTTCTCCTCCAATGACGGTTTTCTACAAACCCATCACAAACCATCGGTTTACAGACTCCGGTTTACTCTCTTCTCGTTCAATTCTCACCGTCGGTGGTTTCGCCGGAAAAATCGTCTCTGTAAAACCGACGGCGAGGTTGAAACTATCGGTGAAGTCTCGTCAAGATGATTACTTTGAGAAACAGAGGTTCGGTGACTCGTCTTCCTCACAAAATGGTATAGGTCATTGTTCGGAATTTTGAAAAATGGGAAGCTGAAATTTCGAAATTTAGAGCTCATAGTTGTGATTACGTTTTGGATTTAGCTGAAGGATCTTCTCCAAGATATTACGTGGGTCATTCGATTTACAAAGGGAAAGCTGCTCTTACAATAGAGCCTCGAGCTCCAGAGTTTGTGGCTTTAGAAGTATGTCTCTTTATTTGAAGCTATATTGAATCATTTCTATGGATCTTATGATTGAATTGATCTCCATTGTTTATATTCAGTCTGGTGCGTTCAAGCTTACAAAAGAAGGGTTCTTGCTGCTCCAGTTTGCTCCTGCAGCTGGTGTTCGTCAATATGATTGGAGCAGGAAACAGGTCTGGTTTTATCACTTGGTTTGGTGAAAGAAACAGCCTCCTCACTTTCTATTGTGATTGTATTAAGATCATGTTTTGATGTGAAATGATGTTTTATCTTCAGCTTAGGGTTTTGTAGATTGTAGTAATGATCACGACTTGGATTAATGAACGAAACAACCTTTTTTCTATTATAATTGTCTTAAGATCAGTGTTTTGATGTCAAATGATGCATATGTGGTTTTTATCTTTAAATTAGTATTTTTATGGATTGTGATTATGATCCCGACGTTGATTTGATGAAAGAACAACTGTGGTAAGATTATGTTTTTGATGTGACATGATGCAGGTTTGGTTTTGTCTTGACTTAGTTTTTCATGGATTATGATAAAGATCATGACTTGATTTGGTGAAAGAAACAGCCTTTTTTTGCTTTCTAATATGAATGATTGTGCTAAGATCATGTTTTGATGTGAAATGATGCAGGTTTTCTCGTTGTCGATAACAGAAATCGGTCATTTAGTTAGCCTTGGCCCGAGGGAATCGTGTGAATTCTTCCATGATCCGTTCAAGGGAAAAGGGTATGATTTAGTATCCATTTCATTACACAGATTGTAATGTTCTGATTCGTAACTAATGATGTGTTTTGTTTGTTGCAGTAGTGATGAGGGTAAAGTGAGGAAAGTATTGAAAGTTGAACCCCTCCCAGATGGTTCTGGTCGTTTCTTTAACCTGAGTAAGTAATTGAATCTTTCTTTCTCTTTTCCTGGACTCTTGATTTCGTATACTCGTGACTTGAAAGCTCTTCTGATTTCGATTATTCTTTTTTTAATGAAGGTGTTCAAAACAAGCTTTTGAATATAGATGAGAATGTATACATACCAATCACTAAAGCCGAGTTTGCTGTTCTTATCTCTGCTTTCAACGTACGTGCTCTCCCTATCTCTCTTGAGCTTTCTCTCTCTGTGAGAAGCTTTTGCCTTTGTTCTAACTTTAGACATTGTATCGCAGTTCATATTGCCGCACCTTATAGGCTGGAACGCATTTGCAAACTCTATCAAACCAGAAGAGTCTAACCGTCTTAATAATGTGTCACCTAAGTATGGAGGAGACTACGAATGGAGTAGATGATGGAGATTAGAGACAGTCTTGCAAACACAGTTTCTTTGGTCCTTCCCATCTTTTTGTTATTGCAAATTGACCATCTTTTTGTTATTGCAAATTAACGAGTCTCCAAGAGCTGTCGGAGACCGAAAAAAGGAGGAAAAAGAAAGGAGCAGTAGAGACTGAAGTAGTGTTTAGACCAAATGGGATGTGTTGTTGTGTAGGAAAAACTCATATTCTGTGTTAGACAATTGTATTGATTCAAGAGCTAACGGTTAGAATTTTGGTAATACAAATCAACTTGCTCTTCCTCTTTAATTTACAAATAATACTGATCACAAAAGGGTCTTAAACTCTTTACTACACATCAATGGCTCATTGTAAGAAGGCATATAGGTCTCTTTGGGGAGCATAGTTATGCGCTCGATTCAGATGTCGTAAACCAACTCAGGATTGCATTCGTAGTATGGAAGACAAAGAAGAACTTAACCCAACTAAGAGAAAGAGATCATCGTGCAGATTATCTCATTCAGACATTAAACCGAGTGTAATACCCCACACAATGAGCTGTTTCTCTCAGTTGGGTTAGCTTCTTCGTTGTCTTCCACACTGCGAATGCAATCCTGAGTTGGCTGATTCACCTGGTTTATGACCTCCGAATCAAGAGCATGTCAATACTCCCAAAAGAGAACCCTGTCTTTGCTCATACACTAAAACACTCTGCATCACCAGTCCATATACTTAACCAGATAAACTAACACTAAAACACTCTGCATCACTAGTCCATATACTTAACCAGATAAACTAACACCTGGAAGTTTTACCATTTGCTTCTCATCTATTACATGCCTGATACTTTCCACATCTTGCCATCTTTCTAATGCAGCATATATGCTGGACAAAATCACAAATGGAGCTGGATTCTCTGGCTCTAACTCTGCAAGCTTCATTGCCGTTTCCTCTCCAAGCACTGGATCCAGGTGTTGCCTACATGCACCGAGTAAAGAAGAGTAAACCGAAGATGATGGTTCCGACATGTCATCTATTACCTCCTTGGCTTCTCTTAATCTCCCAAAGCGGCCCAAAAGATCAACCATACAACCAATGTGCTCTGAACTAGGTTTTAATCCATATTCTTCCTGCATCAACTTGAAAACTCGAAATCCTTTTTCGACATCACCACAGTGACTACACGCAGATAGAACAGCAGTAAAGGTTGCTAAACTCGGTTCTACTTTCTCCTCTCGGAGTAGGTCAAAGATTTCAATTGCAGATTCACACTCTCCATGTTTACCATAGCCAGATATCATAACGTTCCAGAACACTGGATCCTTGGGTTTTGGTTCAAACCGATCAAAGATCTGGCGTGCCCACAACGAGAGCCCACATTTCATGTACATATCGATGAGAGACGTCGAAACAAATACATCCCTTTCAGCTGCAGCTTTAAGGACATGCCCATGGATCTCTTTACCGTTCTTTAAAACCCAAATATCTGAACAAGCCGATAGAAGGCTAGTAAGACATTTCAAACTAGGAACCATAACCACTGACAGCATTCTCCCAAAGAACTTGAAAGTTTCAATTACTTTCCCTAATTGTGAAAAGCCACTTATCAGTGAATTCCATGTCGCTGAATCAGGCTTAAGCCCCTCGGAATCCAACTGTTCAAACAGCTCAACTGCTACCTCATGCTGTCCATTAATCATCATGCCAGAGATAACAGAGTTCCAAGATATCAAGTTCCTGGTATCTTTAAGCTCAGTGAAAACGCAGTACGCTGATTTCCAACATCGACATTTCGAATACATATCAATGAGAGCGGTACCAACCATTGTATCAAACCGAAACTCTTTTTTCATGACAAGACCATGAATTTGCCTACCATACTGGAGATTCAAAAGACTAGCGCAAGCAGATACTGCATTAATGAAAGTAACAGCATTTGGTTCTTCATTTGAAAACTTCCTCATGAGATTAAAGACACTAGGAACCAAATGCGGAACTCCATTCTTCATCAATCCGGAAATAAAAGCATTGTAAGTCACAACACTCTTATGAGGCACCTTCTCGAACATCTTCGCAGCTAAAATCCACTCTCCACATCTCGAATACATTGAAAGAAGAGATGTTCCAACGTAAATGTCTGACTCAAACCCTGATTTCATCGCCAAACAGTGCATTTGCATGCCTCCTTTGATATCCTCACATCCACCCAAAACACTAGCCACAGTAACCGAATTCATCCCAGACCCAGAAACCCTAGCTTCCCCAAACATCCTAAACGCATCTCTAAAAAACCCATTCTCCAAAAGCCCAGAAATCGCTGCATTAACACTCGCAATACCTCTCTCAGGCATTTCGTCGAGCACCTTGACAGCATCCTTCACCTGCTTCACCTTCATGTACATACTCACCAGAGCCGTAACCGTGAAAACATCGACGAAAAACCCTGTCTTTACGACATGGGCGTGCAGAGTTCGACCTTGTACAACGTCTCCGAGCTTCGCGCATGATTTAAGAAGAGGCGGGAATGTGAACTTGTTCGGAGAGTAAGCTCGCGAGCCCAATACCCCACCGGTCACGAGATTCGAGACTCGGTATCTCGTGAGGTTTATCATCTAGAAGAGAGGGGAAATCGAGCACCAAGAAGATACATCAAAAGCCGCCTCCTCTCCATTGTCGTCGTCGACAAAGAGATCAAAAGCAACAATTTTTAATCCCTCTATTTAAACCGGTTATTGTGACGGTTTTGATTCAACCGGTTTAATTCCGGTTTAGCACCTCTCGTATATCGCCTCTGAGCAAATATCTGAAGTCTCTGACTCTGTACACAGATATGTCTTGAATCGAAGTTTCTAGAAGATCACACCAATTCGTGCTTTATACCAAGTTCCACATCATTTTTCAAATCGCTCTCGGTGAATTCGAGGATCGGAGACTTTTTCTCTCATCGTCGCCGTTTGATTATCCGACGCTTTTACTCGCCGGAAAGGAAAAGATGCTTGCTTGACGACGATCTCCACCGTTCTCGTCTTGATCTTTGCGTTTTTTTTTTTGCTCAAAGGTATGATTTTTTTTGTCATTTGATCTCTTTCCTACAATGTTTCGTTGCTAGATCCGTGGATTTTCATATGTGCTTATCAATTTTTTCCCTTTTTTTTTGGTGAATTGATCCGGTCTTAAGCTTAGGTTAAAGAGAACTGTGTAGTTTTTGTAAAGGAAATTGCTTTTCTGATTTTAGAATTGATGTGCTTCTGAAGCTAGTGATGATCATAGGTTATAAAAGTGTATGCGAAGATTAGAATGTATGACAAAAAACGAGATACTTAATTTGACTATTTTGATATGGCAAATGGTTAAGAGTTACCAAAATTTGGAAGTGTGTTGTTGAAGCTGATTGCTTATTAAGTTCAAATCTTGATATTCGAATTTTGTAATTGGCTGCACTCAAGATAATCTTTTGTTGCTTACTTGGTTTTTGATAGAGTAAGAGAAAGATGTCGACTCCAGCGAGGAAGAGATTGATGAGGGATTTCAAGAGGTTGCAGCAAGATCCACCTGCAGGAATTAGTGGTGCTCCACAAGACAACAATATCTTGCTGTGGAATGCCGTTATATTCGGGTAATGAAACAAGAGTAAAAATTGATACTTGTTTGGTTTCAGAAACTTAATAAGCTTTCTTTTTGTGGATTTTCAGGCCTGATGATACTCCTTGGGATGGAGGTAAAGTTTATATTATTGTAATCACTTATCTTGAGATTTTCGACAATCTTTTTATATCTGTTTATATATCCTCTCTTGTATGATCTTGCAGGTACTTTCAAACTCTCGCTGCAGTTTTCTGAAGATTATCCGAACAAACCACCGACAGTCCGGTTTGTTTCACGGATGTTCCATCCAAACAGTAAGTTAAGAGATTGCAGCATCAGCTTTTCTTATATTGAGTGCATGTAGTTTACGAAACTCGAAACTTGGTCATTGTTGTGCAGTTTATGCTGATGGGAGTATATGTTTGGACATTCTCCAAAACCAGTGGAGTCCAATTTATGATGTCGCTGCTATACTTACCTCCATTCAGGTATACATACAGAAATGTCATATCATAATGAGCATGTCCTGTTTCTTGATGAAACCATCGACAATTGTTGTTCTTCTGCTTTGTACAAGGATCTTTGATATTGTAAAGTGTTGTTGCTCTTGATCTGACCACATTGGCTGAACAATTTCTCTTTTTTTGTTAATAACAGTCGTTACTCTGTGACCCTAATCCGAATTCTCCTGCGAATTCGGAAGCTGCACGAATGTTCAGCGAAAGCAAACGCGAGTACAACAGAAGAGTCCGTGAGGTTGTTGAACAAAGCTGGACTGCAGACTAGTAATAATATTTGTTGTAGCAGTTGTCTTCAAAAACAAGAAACTATCTCCTCTCTTGTCTTTGATTCCACCAACACTTCCCTTTCCTGTCTTTGTATGTTTTTCAAACTCTGTGATTTGTTGCTTTTATGTTTTTATGTATTCCATGTATTATCTTAACCACATTTATCTTCATTATTATCATATATCATGAATTTGGTCTTATACAAAACGCTTCTCTGACTTTTGTCTAAATTTTTCAGGTCTTGTGTTCTCTAAAACTCAGTTATGAAAATCAAAGATCCATATAAATTACAGTTTCTACAGTTTTATTTCTCTTTATGATCATTTTTTTTTCTTGAAGATTTATCATTCATATATTGCCTTCATGGATGCTTCATGATTCCCACTGCTTGTTGTCCATCCTAGCTGCACTTGAATTGTATACTGCAGATTCCACACAACATCTCCTATCGACGGTCGCTTGCTCTGATCTTCACAAAGACAGTTGATTGCAAACTCCACGGTTGTCCTCAGCGACTCGTAAGCATATGATCCTTCAACAGTTGGATCTGCCAAGCTACTCAATACCGATGGTTCATCTCTTAAACTGTTCTCCAGCTGCAAGAAAGAACAAAAAGGTTCCAAATTTGTGAGCCATGTCGGATTAACAAAGACGAAAAAAGACTCGAACTGAAACAGAACGGACCTGAAGCTTCAAACTTCCCATCTCAGAAGATCCTGCAGCAACTACTTGGCCTGTAATGATCTGAAGTAGTATCACTCCAAACTGGTATACATCTTCTTTCTCTCCATCCTCATTACTGCACACAATTCACTAACAAGTATCAGAATTTGATAAAAGAGAACACATTCAATCATATCTTGGGAGATACAAACGACCTTCGGGGACTTTTTGCTTGAGGGCTCTCTGCTCCAACCTAGAAATGCCATAAAATTTCCTCAGATTGAATTTAAACCAAAGTAAGAAGGAAAATTAATCGAATCGATTCTATACCTTGGATGGTAAAGGAATAGTATAGCCACTGATTTTTACAGTGAGTGTTTCATCAAGCAGGATATTCTCTATCTTCAAGTTGTTCCCAAAGATTCCAGGTGCTACTCCCATGTGCAAGAACTGTATCCCTCGAGCGATTCCTATAGCTATCGCCATTCTCTGAGGCCATTTCAGTACCTCTTTCTTCTTGCAATCTGATTAAAAAACTACCATTATGTTTTGAAACCTGAATATATTCTCTGTTCTTTTTCCAGGTATTATTACCTGTGAGGAAGTCCTTCAACGACCCTTTTGAAATGTATTCTTGGACAATGAAGATGGTGTTTCCAGTGTGTTGATTATGGTCTTGGTTACTCGCAATGCAATGTCCAAGAACACTAACCAAATGCATATGCCTTAGCTTTGATAAAACTTCCATCTGTTGAGCTAAGCTATGTGGTAAACTCTTCTGCTTCAGCTTTATACATCTTACTGTCACTGCTATGCCTTCTCTAAGACAACCTCTGTACAGCTATTGCAATACCAGAAAATAACAATCAATCAGGTTCCTCAAGAGACACTCAAAGTCATGTTTTTGTTTTTGCTTTACCTGTTCGCTGAAAAGACTCGCTACATCAAAGTCATTAGTCGCTTCTTCAAGATCCTCTAAGGAGAAAACGCGGTAAGGTGGCAAACCAATCACTGCAGATCTCATTGTCTGTGGTACACGTCCTACACTCAAAAAGATTATGTTAATACAGAAAAAAGCTCAATTTCAAGATTTCAAAGTAATAATGATAATAGTCTTTGTTTACTTGAATCTGGTAATGACTTGGTGCTTGTAGTTGTGTTGCTACAAACTGAGAGTTTATCAGAAACATGTCTCTCATTGTTATTGTTGTTTACTTCAAAAGTATCTTCTTCTGACTTTGATCTTCTTCTTTTCAGGACAATCAAAACCAAAAGAACCAAAATCGCTGCAATGATAACCACACCGATGATTATCAAAATCACTAAACCGATTTTGATTCTTGCAGAAGAATCTTTCTCTTCAACCTTGTGGACAGGCTCCACAGCTATAGCTTTACTTGCTTGGTTTAGACAGAAAGAAAGCGGACGCTGATACTTCGCGTTAGGTGTCCCAGTTAAAGACAAGCAATTGAATGAGAAGAGCAATGTCTGATTCTTGGAAGTGTAGCAAGAAGGAAGCTTTCCGGTTAAAAGATTGTGAGAAACGTCTAAAGTTATAACCTTTGAAGAGGAGCTGCAAGAAGAATTTGGAAGTGATCCACTTAACAGATTCTGAGCCAAATCGAGATTTTGAAGAGAGAACAGAAACTCAGGAATCGAACCGGTGAATTCGTTTGAAGAAAGGTCTAGACTTTGAAGCTTATTCAGCTTCTTGATCTGTTCAGGAATCTTGGATCTAAACGAATTGTTCTTCAATGAAAGAGTGATGAGATTCTTTGGGAGTGAAGGTACTACAGGACCAAGATTGTTACCTCCTAAATCAAGCTCTTGAAGATTGGACAATGCTCTGAGATCAGAGACAGAACCTGTGAACTGATTGTCTGATAAAACAAGAGTTTTGAGATTCGTCAAAGACGAAATCTCTTTTGGGATTTTCCCGGAGATGAAGTTAGAGCTGAGGTTAAGAGATTCGAGAGAAGGAGATAACTTTGTGATGAGTTCAGGAGAGAGAGGACCAGAGATTCCGAGTGAGGTAAGAGACAAAGTGTTTAAGGTTGAGAGTTTTGTAAGAAGAGTGAAGAGTTCGTCGGAATTTCCGGAGAGTTTACTGGTTCTGTTTCCGGCAACGGTTAATTCAGTTATGTGACCGTTGAAACAGATGATTCTGAAGGAAGGAGAAGGTGGAATGTGACAGAAGTTGGTTGTGTTGGTCCATGATTGAAGAATCTTTGAATATTGTAGTTGCTTCTGGATTTCAATGAGAGTGTTTGATTCACTTGAAGTTAGCTCAGACTTGGAGAGTAGTGAAAGGAGAAGAAAAAAGAAAGTGAAGGAAAATACATGGGTTTGGTGAGAAATCTGCATTTTCTTGGGAATATTTACAGTGTTTTTGGGGTTTAGGGAAGCAGAAACTCATTGAAAGTAATCATTTTTTTCTGGGGATTACAGAGTCAGATCTATTAGGAAGATGAAGAAAAACTTGGGATCAAGGAAAAGGAAATTTTTTTAGAAGATGAAGATGAAGGAAATTTTTTTAGGAAAAGTCTTTCTTAAGGTTTTCGTGGGAAAATTAAAGTTGGAAGGCAATAAATGAGATCTTTCGTTTTCTTATAAATTTAAACTTTTTGTTTGTTTGTTTGTTCATTACTGCACATTGCACAAGCTCAACTTGACAGACTGTGTTTTTAATGCATCGAAGAACATGAAGTTTTTAGTTTGTTTACTCTACTTATTAGTATAACAATATTTTGTAATCAAAGATTTTCAGATTTATATGGTATTTTGGTTTAATTTAACTCATCTTGTTAGTTGCTAAATTTGTTGACTGGAATATATATAAAAAATGACAAATTATTAGTTTCGAATGTTTTGATCCATAATCTTTTAGGTATCTGAGAATAGCCGTTAATAATACCATATTTAAAGCGTAAATCACCTATTCAAAGTGGAGTTACTAATGATTTTGAAGATTATTTTTCAAGTCTTAAGACCATTAGGCCACCAACCCATTTGGTGACTGAAATAGATTTTTACGAAGTCAGAATTTAGAAGATTCATTAGAAATGGATTATTCAAGGTTATATGTTACTAGACTTCATGTGTCAAATGCGAGATTAAAATATTTTAAAACATAAAATTATAATTTTTATAATATACGGGATAAATTAGAAACAAAAAATTAAATGATATATCTCTCATATAGATAAATATATTTTATCTTACAAAATTTAATTTGCATGACACTTTAATTAAATGTAAACGTTTTAATGTAAATTGTATACGTTTGAGATTATGGGTTCTCTCAAACTTATTTGAGTTCACCAAATCCAAAAAATATCGCGTTAGTATGTAAATCTTCTT